GCCGTCTGGACCACAGGCTGGAGCCGGGCCATGGCGATGACGGTGACCCAGACAGACATGAGGGAGCCCAGGAAGTCACAGAACTGCAGCACGTCATACTCCATGATGCAGAACACCACGATGCCCGGCTGGTCACAGGCGTGGTAAAACTGGGGTGGGAGGGAAAGGGTGTGAGAGCCGCCCTGCACAGCCCTGGCCCCTCGCCTGCCCTCCCAGCCACCCCCACCCCACGCTCACAGTGGAGAAGAACATGGTGAAGATGTAGATGGCAGCTTCCAGGAGGTAGTGGCTGCGGACAGCGATGGCCACAGGAGGCACGAACATGACATTGCTGAGGCACAGCAGCAGCGTGGAGAGGAGCTGGAAGCCATAGGAGAAAGCCTCAGCGTTGTCCGTGCAGCCCCAGCCGTTCCAGCCTGTGGCCAGGGAGAGCTGCTGTTACCCCTGCAGCACCCACAATGGCTGGGGAGGGAGCAAGGAAGCCCCTTTCCAGCACCCTGCAGAGAGCTGGCACAGGAGGACTAATGGGGTGCGCAACCCCTGGGGAGGAGGGGAGGATGTCGGGGGGGTCCCCGGGTGCAGCGGGCACTGTGGGTGCCTGGGGAAGCTCTCACCAGCTTTGCACTCGCAGGCAGCGTACAAATAGTTGTTGGTGCGCAGCAGCTTGCACTGGCCATAGATGCCGCAGTCATTGATGCAGGGTGAGAGGTAGGCACGCAGGTAAACCTCAGCTGTCACATTGGTGCAAGGCTCGAACCTGCAGCGCAGGAGAAGGAGATCAGCCCTCGCCCTGCGCCCCTCGAGCAGCTCCCGCCTCTACTAGAGGCACCTGCCACACCCAGACGTTGCTGACAATGGGAGACCCAGGGACTCAGCAAGCATGGAAATGAGCTGCTTTGGTGCTACACATGGCAGCTCAGAGCTGGTCCCCAAGGATCTTTGTGCTGCAATTGTCTGTGCCAGGCTGGGCGAGCAGGAAGAATGTGGCCGCGCTTAGACCCACTTCGCCTTTAGCAATGCACTCAGCTGGCTCCTATTTTGTCTGGATTTTGCTGTGCAAACACTGTGCCTTGCAATGCCTGCGTGTGACCGTGTCGTGGAAGGACCAACTGCAACTGGCAACTCAGCGTGAACTAGAAATGCAGCAGAGGAGTCAGAGCAGGCACACAACCCCCGCTGCCCCACACCTCCCATGCACGTAGCTCTGGGCACACCCAGCACCTCGGCAGCCTCCAGCATGTAGGAGCACAGACAGGCCCACATCTGGACAGCATGCACTGAGTGCTGCCTGTGCACACGCAGGTACCCCAACATGCACAAATACACACACAGTGCCATCTGCACACATGCACAGGGCACGTCTGCGTGTGTGTCTGCTGTTCCTGCATGTGTTCATGCAGCCAAATCTGCACACACAGCCCTGTCTGCTTGCACAAACCTGAACATGCATGCAGTGCTGTCTGCATGCATGCATCAAATGTGCATGCAGCACCATCTGCATGCACCAAACACCCAGTGCTGTCTGCATGCATGCACTGAACATACACGCAGCACCGCCTGCACAGCACAGAGCCCCACATGGACTCTCACATGTAGAGACACATGCACACAACAACCCCTTTCCTCTGCAGGACTCTCAGGCAGACACGGGCCAGGAGCAGAGTTGCAGACACGGGACCAGTCCCTGGAGATGCTGAGTGGAGCAGGGGCACAGCAGCCTGACCAGAGCTGCTCCCTCATACACACAGCCAAGTCTTGTCCTTGCAGTGACAGCCCGGTCCCCTCCCGGGCATGGGTACAGATGGGCACTGCCACAGAGACAGGCAGGCACCAACAGATGCACGGTGTTCACAAGCTGACAGGCGCTTCCTAACCAAGAGACAGAGGGAAGAGCCGTGGGGACCCACAGATTGTCAGGCAGGCACAAGCTACAGCCATCCATGCCCACACAGGTACTCACACTGTGACACGCAGCCCACAAAGCCACGTGAGCGGTGACATGCTGGGCAGGGACCAGGTACACCCAAGGACCCACAGCGCACATGGATGCAGGCGGGGACGCCCCCTCTGGGCACGCAGGGAGGGGACATGCCGGGGCTCTTACCCATGCTCTGTGGCACAGAGCGAACGCAGGCTCAGGTACCAGCTGCCCGTCTGGGGGTAGGGAATCCGCAGGCGGCTGAGGCTGGCTGTGGCATTGACAGAGAGCAGGAAGCCTGCCAGGGACTCTGCAGACAGGGAAAGCTCCGGGTGAGCAGGGCAGGGAGCAGCCCCTTCCCCTGGACAGAGCTGGGATAGGGCGCCCTGTGCCAGGCTCCAGGGCCAGATGCCCCCATGGTCTCTGCCTTCTCCCACCCAGCCTCTCACTGGACACATGGGGGGTGTGACCCCCATGGCCACAGCAGGATGGACATGAACAGCCCAGCCTACCCGTCTCGCAGGTGACCGATGCGTTGTCACCGGACATCAGAGGGACTTCATGGTTCAGACACCCGAACACTGTCACATTCTCACCACACAGGGAGCTCTGACGGCAGAGGAGGAGATGGTCCTAAACCAGTGCCAGGGATGTCCCCTGCTCTGACAGCCCCCAGCTCGCAGCACACCACCTAGCAGTGCCCTAACCCACCGCCCATCACCTAAGAACACCCCAAATCCAGGCCATCATCTTGCCCTTAGAGCACCCTAATCTGTGCTCTGTCACCCAAGATCTCCCAAACCATGGCCCATGGCTCAAGAGCACCCCAAATCCTGTCCCTCACCTTGCTGCAGCCACGACATCACCCATCTCCCAGCCTATCCCCCCCAGGCTGCCCTGCCCCGTCTGGGGCGCAGCATGGCCACCTCACCACGTTGAGCCGCAGCTCCAGGTTGAGCACCCCACCACTGTCCAGCACTGGTAGGAGGTTGATGACAAAGACAGCAGGGCGGTCAGGTGGCACTGACACGTTGGGCCCGAAGAAGATGTAGAAGTGGACGGAGAAGGTGTCCAGTTCATTGCGCAGCGTGGGGCGGACTGGCCAGCACCACTCACTGGCAGGTGAGGCAGTGGGGATGGGGACCGGGTGCTTCGTGCCGTTGGGGCTGGTGGGCAGAGGGCTCTCCCCCAGCGCCAGCCCACCCGTGGAGCCGAAGGATTGGGGCATGTTCATGGAGGCACTGGAGGGCAGGAAGGGTGGACGGGCCAGGCTGGGTCGGGAGCAGTCTGGAGGGCAGAGCCGTCAGCCTGGGCACCACACAGCCCCTCCAGCCCCCTCTTAGCTCCTACCTCCCCTTCTTGCCCACCACTCACCTGCATCTGCAACCCAGCCCCAATGCCTCCCAGTGCCCCCATCCCAGCAGAGCTGGGTATCACCCTGCGCCCAGCTGGGGCCAGATCCTGCAGGCGTCCTTTGCCCCTCCACCAGTCGCCCAAGCAGAGTCAAGACTATGCCCCCCCACCTGGACCTCCCTGTGCACCCTCACCTGTGAGCTGCACGGTGACCTGGAAGGAGATGGTGCCCAGCACCCCAGGGTGTTTCTCCACCAGCACGTAATACCAGTGCTGCCAGAAGGGCAGGTCCAGTGCCAGCTGGCAGGGAGTGTGCTCCCAGCAGTCCAGTGCCGTGGAGTTGTGCAAGGGGGGAGCCTTGGCCCGCACACGTAGCCAGAGTGGGCAGCCCTCGGCCCTGCGGCACCGCAGCACCTCCACCAGCATGCGCGACGTGTAGCTGGGCACAAACACCCTGTGGGACAGTGGTGTCAGGTCCTGCTCCTCAGCATGGACCAACAGGGCTGGGGAGGCAAGCCAGAGGGATGGGGCACCCTAAGCTCCCCACCCTGGGGATGCCTCCTCCTTAGGAGACCCTCTCGCACTTACTTGTAGAG